TGGACAGGGCGGCTCGGCGGCTGGGCGGCTCGGCGGCTCGGCTGCTGGGCGGCTCGGCTGCTGGGCGGCTCGGCTGCTGGGCGACTCGGCTGCTGGGCGGCTCGGCGGGGCCGCTGAGTAGGCGGCGTCCGGGGCCGCTGGGAGGAGGCGGCGGGGCCGCAAAGGTAAGTGGCGGGGCCGCGGAGGTAGGTGGCGGGGCCGCACAGTAAGGCGGCGGGGCCGCGAAGGTAGGTGGCGGGGCCGCACAGGTAGGTGGCGGGGCCGCGGAGGTAGGTGGCGGGGCCGCACAGTGAGGTGGCGGGGCCGCGAAGGTAGGTGGCGGGGCCGCACAGGTAGGTGGCGGGGCCGCGGAGGTAGGTGGCGGGGCCGCACAGTGAGGTGGCGGGGCCGCGAAGGTAGGTGGCGGGGCCACACAGGTAGGTGGCGGGGCCGCACAGGTAGGTGGCGGGGCCGCGGAGGTAGGTGGCGGGGCCGCGGAGGTAGGTGGCGGGGCCGCACAGTGAGGTGGCGGGGCCGCGAAGGTAGGTGGCGGGGCCGCGGAGGTAGGTGGCGATGGGCGCGACGGGCGCGACGGGCGCGACGGGCGCAACGGGCGCGACGGGCGCGACGGGCGCGACGGGCCGAAAGGGCGGCGCGACTCGGGCCGGCGCAAAACGCGCTCCAGGCAGGAAAAAAAAAAAAATTTCGTGGTGGTGGGCCCTAGGAATCGTTCCCACTAGGGAACCTGCTCGATACCATGAGAAGAAACGAGGAATGAAATGACTAAGTGAAAGTTGGGTACAAGAAGCAAACCCTAGAAAATTGTACCCCATATGTGCTACCCCACTATAGCCTACAGTAGCTATGTCATATAAATCTGACATCTGCTGCTGCCGAATGTGAATTGTTGCTAACGCTCTTGTTCTTTCTGCTTCAGGGATGGTTTCCGAGTACCAGAAGCCTCCAGGACTGAAGTCTGGGTCAAGATCCGGTGGATGTGTCCAAGAGGTGAAGGTGACGGTTCCGTCGCTGTCTGCGGTGCCGAGATCTGGGACGAAGTCGAGGACGAAGACATTATTTTTCAAGATTGCCTTTCCGATGTAGAGGCCTCCTCTCATGTGGTACAATTTGAATTCTTGGGTGGTGCTGTCTGCTTCAAGGTGTATGCCCTTCGCCATCAGTTGGCTGACGCTCAGTAAGTTGTAACCGAGCCCTTCTGCTATTAAAACCTTCGACATCTGCAGTGTGACATTTGTCTCTCGTGACTGAAGTTGAACCACTCCTTGTCGTCGTGTGCGCAGGTTTTGGTTATTGGCGACGGTGATGACTACTTCGCGTTGGAGTTGGTACTCTCGCTGCACGAAGCGTCCTGAGGAACACATGTGCTGTCCGCAGCAACTGTCTAAGAACCAGGTGTTCTTCCCGGATGGCTCGCTTTGGGCGATGGCTGCGTACGTTGGGTTCGGTTGAAGTGACTCGCGACGAGGTGTAGTGTTGTCGAGTTGCTCCTCCGGTGAATAGTGTGGCGGTGACTCGATGATGCAGGAGTCGCTCAGTCTTGCCATACAACTGACGATGTTTCTTGCTCCTTGTGTAGGTTGTCCTGTTGATGTTGTTTGAACTTGAGCGGTGGGGTTCGCTTGTGTTGAAGCGACTTGGTTGCTTAAAGGTCGAAGCTGTCGTTGTGGCGGTGTTGACTGTTGTCGATTCGGGCAGTGTGTGCGCGGATGTCCTGACGTCTTGCAGAGATGACAAAACGGAGGTACAGGTTTTGGTTGATGCCGGTTGTTGTAGCGCCGTTGAGTGTGAAACGCAAATTCGGGAACTGAGGTTTTCTTCTTGTGCCGCTCCTCTTGCAGGTCCATGTCTTGCTGCTCGGCGTAAATTTCGGCGCAGAGTGCTGCTTCGGAAATCTTCCCGTGAGCTCGGAGAATGGCTCGAGTGGAGCGCCAATGAGGACCAAGTCTAGTGATGACGACGGTGACGAAGGCTTCTTCCGAAATTGAACCTCCACATCGAAGAAGTGTGTCGCGCAATTCGCGGCAGCGACTGATATACCCCATCCCCTTTTCGCCCGGTTTCATTTCCACTGTTGTCAGTTGTGCCATTAACCGACTTTGGTTTACGCTGTCTGTTTGCCTGATACAGGTTCTTCATGTGGTTGTGTCAGAAGTAGTAGTAGAAAGAAAGAATGAAGAAAGGAGGATGTTCACTAGCAAGCAGTTGGACACATATAGCAAACCCTAATTGGGCTGTACTCACTATGGAGTACCCCACTGCAGGCTAGACAATTATAACATTCTGACACACCCCCATAGCCAAAGTGGGGTGTAATCAGCACAACAAGCAAGCATAGTAATAGTTCGCAATTATAAGCAAAACTAGAGGTAATCACAGCGGGCAAGTGAGGAGGAGGAGGGACTGTGAGAGGAGAGAAGATGAGAGACGGCGGCTGAAGCTGCAGACACACGGGCAACAGGAGCTGCTGGCACAGTGGCTACCGGGACAGTGCGCCCCGGACTACTGGAGTAACTGGCTCACGGGCTACGACGAGCTACAGGAGCAACGGACCCTCGGGCGACAGGCGCAGCAGACTCTCTGGGCTACCAGGACAGTGCGCCCCGGACTACAGGTGCTGCGGACGACAAGACAGCAGCCTCCGCTCAACCTCCTCCAACTGTCCCACACACCCCCCACACACCCACTGCTTCACTCCTAACTCCACTTGCACGTCACCCCCCTAGTACCACTCCTTCGGCTCCCACACACCCACCCCCCTCAGCGGCAGCTGCAGCACTGGGAGACGGAGGAGGAGGAGGAGCAGGGGACGACGCACAAAAACTGCACCCCCATACCCCCCACCCCCAAACCCTAATTCAGGAGAACGGGCAGCAGCAGGGGTGGGGCGCCGTCAGAAGCACGGGGGACAGCGGGCAGCGCAGGGGAAGAGGAAACAGGGCGCCCACGGGCCTGGCGCAGCCCGTACGAACCGCGTGCGGGCGGCCCGAGGCGCGCCCTGGCCTGGCGCAGCCCGTACGGGCCGCGCGCAGGCTGTACGGGCCGCGCGCGGGCCCTACGCAGGTCGCGCAGGCCGCGACGGGCGACGGGGGGCGACGCGCGGATCCCCGTCGCCCGTCGCAGCGCCTCCCGGGAGCGACGCGCGGAGTGACGGGGCAGAAAGCCGCCGCGCGCCTCGGGGCGCACGGCGGGCAGAAAACCGCCGCGCGCCTCGGGGCGCACGGCGGGCAGAAAACCGCCGCACGCTCCGAGCGCGCGGCGGGATGAAAAATCCGTCGCACGCCACGGGGCGTGCAACACACAGAGTAGCAGTAGCAGCGGAAGCAGTGAGGTGGTGGGCCCACCCACAGGATCGACCCAAGGGGATCGACCTGCTCTGATAGCATGTCAGAAGTAGTAGTAGAAAGAAAGAATGAAGAAAGGAGGATGTTCACTAGCAAGCAGTTGGACACATATAGCAAACCCTAATTGGGCTGTACTCACTATGGAGTACCCCACTGCAGGCTAGACAATTATAACATTCTGACAGGTTGTACGCAAGCTCGGCAGAGTTCCCGTATCCCCGATAAGACCGGATGTTCTGCTGTTGGTTTGGCGTGACGTTGCGCAGTAGAATTGTGTACGCCATCATGGACTGATAGGTGTACTGCTGCTTGTCATATTGTGTCCCGTGTGTTGGGTATGGCAGGGACCCGTCGAAGAAGCCGAAAATCTTCGCGCCCTCCATCATCAGCTCGAATTCGAATGACCAGGTGAAGAAGTCTTTTCCGTCGAACGGTCTTGATGTCTGCAGTTTCAGGACGTGTGCAAACTGCGACTGAACTTGAAGTGTGTCCAATGTCTTTTCTTGCTCAGGTGAAGTCTGCTGGCGCGGCATGAAGCTGACAGAACCGCGCTGGGGCTCGTACGGAGCAAAGGTAGGCTGCTGCTGTTGATTTCCTCGCGCGTAGGATGACTCGTCGAGGCTCATGGGCGTCACGTCGTTGTTGTTGTTGCTATTGTTTGACTGTGCAGTGAGAAGAAACGAGGAATGAAATGACTAAGTGAAAGTTGGGTACAAGAAGCAAACCCTAGAAAACTGTACCCCATATGTGCTACCCCACTATAGCCTACAGTAGCTATGTCATATAAATCTGACATGCAGGTGCTCCTTGCTGGTGCTGTTCGTAGAAGGACATGAAGGAGAAGAATTTCTCCATCATGCTTGGGTTGAAGCCCGCGCCCTGATTCGCGGGAGTTTCGGTAGACCCAGCTCCCGGCCTTGTTGCTGTACCCTCCTCTGTCTGTAGGCTAGAGGCAGGAGGTGGAGTAGGAGTGGTCCCGGGAGAGCCGTTAGAGAAACTTCTTTCTTTCTGAGTTGCCATGCCTTATGGTGCTGTAGATAACTTGATAGTGGTTGAATTCGCCCTGTTAGCTCTCATCTCATACCATGTTGGGCTGAGAAAAGCCCTTAGGATCTTTGCAGGGCTGAACTCTGGGTAGGACTTATTGTAATTAGCGGAAGCGTTTTAATGAAGTAGTTGAACCACCTTGCGCTGGTATGTGAGGGCTAAGTGAATTAATTAAAGCAAAGAGATACAAGATTATATAAGAGTACAAGGAATACGAAGAGATACGGTTGCAACTACTTTACTGTTGCTGTTGCGGTTCGATACAGTGACGACTCGGGCAACTGCTCTGTAGCGAGTCAGTTGTGTGTCCTTGCTGTCGCGCTGTACTTGTCAGGTCAAAGGTCGCTGACCTTTGACTTTCGCGTAACCTCTAGCAACTGCTCAACCTCCAAGGGTTGACCCGCCGGTGCTTCGATATACCTTGCTTCGCTTCTAACTTGGTGTTTCGACACGACAGAGGCGCTTAGAATTAGTTGTTTCCAACATATACTATCCCAACCATACCCCCTGGGCTTGCTGAAATCGAAATAGGATCTGGCAATCCTGTGAAACCCCTGTTCACTGCTTGAAATTTTCACCATCAGATGCAGTACCAGATGCACATGTATTTGATTATTGTGGTAAAAGTATGATGTCTACATTGTTGTCTCGGCCTTGCAGCAGCATCTCTGCAGCAAAAGATATCATTTTCCTTTTCTTCGCAGCACGTAGCGTTCCTCCAAGCGCCTCAAATATGTCTCCTGTTTCGTCAAAAAGCTTGCCAAACTTCACCTGTGGTAAAACAAATGGACAGGGGGCAAACGAAAATGAAGACTGGACGATGAAGTCCGGAGGCAGCTAGATGTCGTGAGCGCGATGAAGCGCAGTCATGTGTAACAAAAAGCGGCTGATGAATCAAAGCATCTCGTGTAGCCATACAGAATGGCATTCCAATTTGGGTTTATGCCGCATTTCAGCAAGTTCACTATAGATACGAGTCTGAGCACACACACACGCACGCACTTTCCCCCACCCTCCCGCCCCCTCCCCCGCCCTCCCCCCCCCCCTCCCCTCCCCCATTCCCCCATTTCCCCCACACACGCACGAACACCCACACCACAACCCCTTTCATGCATATGAATTGACAATCTCACATGAATGAGCTAGCACAGGAAATGTTTCACTGCACATCATTATGCAATACAGAAAGTGTGCCACCAAATACAATCGTTATGCTTGCATAAACAAACAGTTAGGTGGGAATGGATCCATAACACGAACCTTGACGGATCCATCAGCCTGCTTCTCCCCCAGCTTTGTAATTTCCTCCTTGAGCTTTTCAATCTCCTCATCTACATTCATGGTTGAACCCTGACTTTGTCTGCCCGGCTGCGGGTGGAACGGGGAAGAGGATAAACAAGAACAGGGCATCCATTCGCACTACGGGTCATCTAAAGCTTCAACAAAGGACTCATTCTGGAAATCCGGCGTTCTTTTTTACAATAAACAGCTCAAGGGAAAAAAACTCGGTTACTTGAACGCCAGTCACCAGCAAGTGAAGGGAGTCTGCGAAAATTGACGGTATGGTCACCTTTACGATCTTCGCAATAAAGGATATTAATATTCGATGGAACGAGATCGGGTGGCGGGAACGAGATCCTTGAGGAAAGACTGGTCAGAAAAGAAGGTAAAATCTCAACACTAATACCGAAGTGATCAAAACAGAACAGTTGTGGCAAGTGATTGTGCCAGCCAGTCCAACATGCTCAATTCCGTTCCTTGTGAAGAGCTGGAACCAAGGCAGGCAACTGCCAGTCCAACATGTTATTTATCGCTGTGAACCACAGTGAAACTCTTTACCTGACTTATTGACCGCTTTATATTCTAATGAAACTCACTTGACCGCATTCAGTCTCTACTTGGAAGATATGTTTGGGTGGGATGTCCAAGGATTGAGGGAATTTCGGGAAGTTGGTCAGGAAAAGGGTAATCCCGGGGAGCGAAGAGGGATGTGAAGCGGTTGGGATGGGCTGACAGACTGGGCGGTTTGGCAAGCATTTGGAGCAGATAAGGTTGGGTGAACGTGCGGTGGACGAATTTGACGAAGCGTTACACTTTACGGCGAAAACGATACATATGCTTGTTGTACTCTATGGTGTTGTGGTGATCACATAACTAAGGGCGTATCTCTGGTTCCGGTCACTTGCCTGTTCATTCAACTGTTTGGGTCATGCGTAAAATGCGCATGACCCGAAGTGGGCTGCCGAGCCGCGCGCGGCCCCAGCTTTGGGTCAATGTGCAGGTGTTGGGCGACTGACGTGCACGACCCTCCCCCAACCAATCACCTGGTTGCACGATTCACGTCAGACAGCCATCTTTTTGGCCGTCGTCAGTCGAGTGCCACAATTTTGCAATGTACCGTATTCTATACCTCTGCACCCAACCACTTGGCAAATTGATCCCAGTGACCCCCGAATGTGTCTTGAATTTCCCACGTCGCGCTCCCAACATTTGGGGATTCATGCCGACATTTTTTACGATTGTGTTTTTAGATGGGTGTCGCATGGTTTTGCGTGGGTGTAGCAAATGATCTTTCGAACTGTTGTTTGGGGCGTAATATTGGCGCGAAAAAGCCTCGCGTCAATTTGGAGGTCGCATGAGTACCGAGAACTAAAAGTGGTGTTTTGTGTTGTTCCGGGCATCCGCAATTCGCGCATGCCAGGAACAGTGCAAGTGACCGGAACCAGAGATACGCCCTAAGAGCTTGACAAATCCACGTAAATCACGCCCTTGTTTGGCTTGCCATCCTTCACTAGTCCTTCTGAGCTCATTTCGGTAGTTTCTCGTCTCTTGACGATCCTTCAGTAGTCTTCAGTCTTCGACAGTTGTTAATAGCCTAGATACAGTCATGGTAGTGCGGAAGTTAATCAAGCAAAAGCCGCGGAGGGGTAAATTCTCAGGCAAGAATTTCAAAAAGCGCGAAGTCCTTATCAACGCAGAGGAGGAGGCTAGAATCGAGGCGAAAACTCTAGGACTGAAGTACACCCCGCCTGTTGGCGGGAAAAAGAAGAAGAAAAAGCCCAAGTGTTCCCGATGGTTGTTTCCAGGAGCTCACTACCCGGGGAAACCCGCGCCTCCTCGAAAAAATGCGCGCGGAAGTGACACGGAGAGTCTGGATAATGACGTGGATAGGCGTGTCGCTGACGTGGATGCATCGGAAATGGATAAGGGAGTGCAAGAACGAAAAGGCCCGGGAAGGTTGCGCTATTTCGAGCAGATGGTGGGACCGGAGAGGACGCAGGGAGGCGAGCTTGATAGCGTGACGTTTTCGCGAGCGAAGGAGCGGGAGAAAGAGGAGATTCGCGGGAAGAAGCGGAGAGAAAAGGAGGAGAAACGCGAGACAGAACGCCGGGAAAAAGAGGAGCGACGAGCGGAAAAGCGTGCGAAACGGGAGAGCCGAAACGGTGTAGCGGCACCCGGGAATGCGGACCTGTCAGGTTCCGCTGCGGAGCTAGCATCCAATGCAGCTGAAACGTCAAACGGGGTTGGGGTTAAAGCGTCGGGTGGGGTTAAAGCATCTTCTGGGGGCAAGCCGTCTGCTGGGGTTAAAGCATATGCCGAGGTTAAAGCATCGGGTGTGGCGGAGGTGTCTAATGCAGCAGCAGACAGCTCGAGCGAGGACGAGGAGGAGGCAAAGAGGCAAGCGGCGATCAGCTCTGTCGTGGTTAAAGGGACGCATATCATGGGCGCTGCTGCCGCTACTGCCACGTTCAGGTGAGACCTGAATAGAAGAGGGTTTGGGGTCGGGTTTCAGGATAGAAGCGGCGATCAGCTCCGTCGTGGTTGAAGGGACGCATATCATGGGCGCTGTTGCTGCTCCCACGTTCAGGTATGGTGCTCGGGGGAATAGGGTTTGGTGTGCCAGGTAAAGGTGGGAAAACAGGCAACAATCAGCTCCGTTGTGGTTGAAGGGACACACATCATGGGCGCTGCTGCTGCTCCTACTAGATTCAGATGAGACCCTGAATAATCAGGGTTCTGGGGTTTAGGATAGAGGGATGCAGCGTTTAGTTCTTTGTGGATGACGTGTAGAAAATCATCGGTGTTGCTGCACCCGTGCTGCACCCCTGGCGAGGATGGGTTTTCAGGGATCAGGGTTTCGGGCCCCAGTTTGAGCCGCAGTTGGTTGGATTAACATGAAAGCCCCAAGGTCCATCCATGTGAGGAGGACTGTGTTCAGTGGCCATGATTGTGTGTGCAGGCACAAGCGCAAGGCAAAGCGGGGACTCCAATCAACCCTGGGGGGGATCAAGGAGAGGAGGAGAGTGGGAGTGAGGATGACTATGCTCAGTTGCTTGTGTGCGTGGATGTCATGTGGCAGGCACAAGCGCAAGGCAAAGAGGGGGCTCCAATCAACCCTGGCGAGCAAGGAGAGGAGACGGTTGAGGAAGATGGGTTTACAGCCGGATGGAGAGGAGGAGGGGAGTGAGAGTGAAAATGAAGGGGAGGAGGAGGGAGGGGAGGATGGGGAGGGGAGGGGCGGAGAAGATAAGGGTAAAGACCTGAAGCTCAAGCACTATCAGATTCGGGTAAGTATTGCATACTGGTGAGTTGTACGTATGTTGGATAGGAGGAGAAAGCTTCCTGCTAGTTCCTTGCCTACCGAACCTGTAATTTCTTTCTAAATTATGTCCTTGGCACCATGTGGGTTTGGATTGTGCACCATGTGGTCACCATTTGCATTCCCTCATTTGCACTTCTCTCCCTCTGCCCATGTCTCTTCCAATTTGAATTAATCCCATTCTACCTCCAGGCTCAGGATATGCTGCATCAGCATTTGGACAAGCTACTGGAGATGACTGTAGCTGCTGTGGAGAAAGGAGTAGGGGAAGGAGAGGGAGGGGAAGGGGGAGCAGAGGATGCAGTCAATGGTAACATTGATGGCAGTGGCAGGGATGATGGTGAAACAAAGGCTGTGAGGAAGCGTAAGGAAAAAATGGGGAAGAAAGAAGGGAAAAGGGAGGAAAAAAGTGTGAAGAAGACCGAGGGAGTTGGAATCAGGGCTGACTATTCAAAAAAATCCAGTCTGATGTTCTGGGGGCTCTGAAATTTTTGTCTGAGGCATATTTCCCAGAGAATGGCTACTCTGATTTTTCAGGTTCCGCAAAAACACAAGTCTGAAGTACTCAGAACACACTACAACCACTGCAGTACAGTACTGCCACGAATGTAGCACGTGGGGCGCAGCGCTAACCGACTTTGCTGCGCCAGCACAGAGTTTCCCTCGCTGACACCGGGTAGCTGCAGTGATGGTCCCTCGTGAGTGAAAGAGCGAGCCAAGTTGGCAGATTTCTAAAGGAAAATGGTGGCAAAAGTAGCCAAGGACAGATTCTGCGCGTGACAGCGCCATGAAGTGTGTTCGTACACTGGCAACATATGACGTACGGTAGCGGAATGTACGTAGAAATTACAGATCCACATTTCAGGATCCGTACTCCCTGTAGTATGAAGACCCATTATCGGTTAAGTCAGTAGTCTGAAAATCTCAGGATCCAAAACCAGGTAAGTCTGAGGTACTCATGTTTGAAAATCTTACAAGTCTGAAAAATCAGGATCCGTAGGAAAATACCCTGAGATTTCAGACAATCAGACTATTTTAGTCTGATAAAGTCAGCCCTGGTTGGAATGGAAGGCCGGGAGGGAAAGGAGGGGAAGAGACGAAAGAAGGGAGAGAGGAGAAAGCAAGCGAAGCAAGCCAAGATTCAAGTGCCAGAGTCGGGTGGAATTACGCTTTTTAGAAAAGGCCCTGTTGTTTCACTTCAATGAAATGACACCTTTTTGTGAAAACTGCATGTGATGTTGCAATTGTTTATGAAGTCGCCTGAATTGCAAAGGCGACACTATGCCCCGGTACACGTACGAAGGCCTGTACAGAACCGAGATTCCTCAAACAATATTGCGTTCGGAGGGCTTGAAACGAATGCCCATGCTGGTGTCCCCAGGGTCGCAGTCGGGTTTGCAACTCGCCATTTCGTGCACTAGTTTCAGCATCAGCTTTTTGTCTCAGCTCTGCTTCTCTACCGTTCCATTCTTGCCAACAACAGATGGTTTTCTCCATTCTCCGACATAACCTTGGATGTCTCCTCCGCAGCCACCTTCTTGCTAATCCGTCGGCCTCTTGTTTAATTTCCCACTCCGTTCCTCTTCTACGAGGCGAAGTGTCCACGCGGGGTGTACAACACATTAGGTGTCATTTCAGATTTAGCAGTGTCCTCATGGCATCAGAAGAGCCGAAATCAAAGGAGACCATTGCTTCAGATCAGCAAACCACGAAAGATGTCACGGCGTCAGAAGAACCGAAAGCAGATGGCAATCAAGCTCCAGAAGAACCATCATTGAAGAAGATGAAGGTTGACCCGGAATTGTCTCTCCGTGTCAAGAAGCTGTCAGAGACGGCAGTTCTTCCCAAACGAGGGTCTGCGAGTGCTGCCGGTTACGATCTTTCAAGGTATGCAAATAAAATTCTGGCCGCGATTACCGGGAGACAAGTATTGGGCTTGACTCTGTTTACCTTGATACTTTCGGGCCAATGTCGTCTTCCCGTCCTGTGACGGTTCTTCTTATAGCTTGCTTGTCGTATTTCAGCGCACATGACGTCACCGTGCCTGCAAGGGGTCAGGCACTCGTCAAGACAGACCTCGCAGTCGCCATTCCGCTGGGGACTTATGCTCGAGTGGGTGAGTCCCAGTTTCGTTGTTATCCTTCCTATTCTCCGCCAGTCTTAAGATTTTTTCCAGCCTGTAGCTAAAACACCCGACGCCTCGTCATGATATTTCAAAGCGAATGCATTTTGTTTTTAGCAGAATCTTCTAAGTTATTCGCTCGGATACTTTCTCTTCCATCCTTCATTCTCTGATCCTTTGCCATGCCATCTCAGCTCCTCGCTCTGGCCTTGCCCTGAAGCATTCCATCAACGTGGGAGGAGGCGTGGTTGACTACGATTACCGTGGAAATGTGGGAGTGATTCTCTTCAATCATTCTGACAATGACTTCCCTGTGAAGGCCGGCGACAGAGTCGCACAGCTGATCCTTGAGCGAATAGTCACTCCTGATGTTGTGGAGGTGGAAGAGTTGGATGATACCACACGGGGGGCTGGAGGGTTCGGCTCCACAGGGGGCAGCGACGCTTTGAAGCATACATAGAAGAAGACTAGGCTGAGCTGACATTGAATCTCAAGGGTGAGGGGACATTGCTAACCTGTATTTGGTTTGGGCAAGAGCTAGTGTGCTGCTGTGCTTGCCAGTCTAATCATTTTTGTGTTGATTCCACCTGAACATGCTAGATTTGGCTGAGACCATCTCTCTGCACTGCACAGTTCATTGGTTTTGCATGAGCAGCACATTCAGCGTAGATGCTGCTACCGTCCTGGCACAATTTGTACAAATGTTGAATCCGTTATAATCGAATTAATGATCAGAGGGCAGGAACCAATCACTACTTCAAAATAATAGACGAGCAGGAACTACCGGGTACAATGTCTTCACACAAGCGCAGGCTTATCTTTGCCCAAAAAGTTATCATATAATGATGTGCAGCTTATTCCTCCCCTGTTCTTGTTCCAAGAACCGAGATGTCCTCGTACCGCTTCTGCAAAGGAACAAAAAGGGTTTGCAGATGAGGAGGCAACATGTCGAAAAGAGTGAATAAGGGAGCATAGCGAGAACAGTGAGGAAGTTAGGGCGCGTGTCCTTATACAGTGTTTTGCAAAACTCGTCTTTTTAGTTGAACTTCTACCATTTGAACCTAGGTCGACCTAGGCTCGAGCATATAGATTCATTTTTCTCTAGCCGCTGTTCCTCGCTTCACATGTATCACACGGCACACAACAGTTCGACTAGTTAAGTTCAACTTTGAACAGTAATTTACGAGTCGCGCTGAGCTTTCGTAGGTTACCTGGTAGGGCGGTGCAGTTCGTGACCGTATACGGCTTCAGTAACCAGGTACGATGTAACTCGTTACTGTCGTGAACCTCACGAAATTTCGTACGTACGCAGAAGGACACACGACTGGATAAATGAAATCGTAAAAATCCGAACTCAGGTCGACTTTAGTTCAGTGTCCTACTTCTTTCACACAGTTTGACATAGGACACACGATTCCCTCGCGATCGTTTTGGCGAGATTCACGAAACGGGTTACCAGAAAAAGTTCAACCTTTTTCCCGAACTTCTACACCAAAGGACACGCGCCCTTATAAACATAGAAACCCAGATCAAAATATACCGTATATGTATCTACAGAATATGGACCAATGCATCTGTTGGATCAGAACTTACCCCCTTGTTGTACGAGTCCCAAAGCTGATCAAAGGTGTAGTTGACCGCCTGGTGAAGGGGCAGTGTGGAAGGAAGAGACAAGAGTGAAGAGACAAGTGCAAAAAAACAAAACACACACACACACACACACGTTCACCTCGGCGTCATCAGAACAGAACTAGCTGACTTGGTAACATATCTATATCGCCTGCAAGACGCTACAATTGCAGGTGGGTCCGCGATTTACCTAGGCCATCTATGCAAGGCTCCTAGACCACAGCACTTACAGGAAGCACGAGGAAGCATCTGTGATCAGAGCCGACACCACGCGTAACGATACACGCAAGGCTATCTATGTAGAAGTCGGAACATTTGGCCACGCAATAAAAGAATGTACCGTAGAGCTGAACTGGATGCTTTGATCTAAGAACTGGTGAAGGAATGAAAGAATGAACCGGCTGTTTGAAGCGCGTTACCCATAACTTGTTTCGGTGGCATCAACGGACGGAATGAAAGCATCTCCAATATACATCCCTCCTGAACTAAACGCATCGCTGCCAGCAAAACACTCTCCGCTTCATAAACGCTGGGACTCTCCCACGACGTACAGCTGAAGCTGAGACGAAACTCAAACCTAGCCGCACCCAGATCTATCCTTCGATCGATCGTGAGACCCAGGGTATGCGGAGCGAAACAAGCAAAACGTGCGGTTCGTTGCCTTACCCGCTCTCCGGCAAGCGCGCCGACGAAGATGAAGCCGATGTATACCGAGTTACGCTTCATGACCGTGCGGTAAAGCACGTCTGCGAGCCCCATGATCGCTGGCGAGGAGGTTCAACGGATAAGAAATCGAACGCGTTGGAGCGAGACGGCGGAGACGAAGGCCCCTGGCCGATGGACGGCTGAGCTGGATGCGTGGGTTGCGGCGTGGCGAGTTGGGAGTGCGGAAATAAGGAGGTCGGTTGAATATTTGGGTGCGGGGCTACGGGGTACTGGGAGGGGGAGAGTGGCGGAAAGCTTTGAGGGGGAAGTGCGGAGCGTGGCGGATTTACGCGGACGTGGAACGGATGGGGGGAAAGCGAATGGCGGGGAGCGGGAGCACACGGAACGCGCGGAGCTTCGCAGCCAATAGCACCTTCGAAAACACATGAACCATTATTATCTGATTACGTAGCTGCTACAGTGATGACTGAGGATGAAAGCATGTTTATGTAGCTAAGAAATTTAGCATCATTTGCAACATACAGTGCCAAACAAAGAGCACTGAAGCAACAACGCCCCTTCCCTCTGTTGGGCTGAAAAAAAGGCCCTAAGGATCTTTGCAGGACTAAACTCCTGGTAGGACTGATGTAATAGCTGAAGCGTTTAATAAAGAGTTGTGAACCACCTTGCCCTGGTATGTGAGGGCAAAGTAGATTGATTAAAACAAAGAGATACAAGCTTTTATAAGAGTACAAGGGAATATGAAGGGTTATAACTAATAACTGTTTTGCTGTTGCTGTTGCGGTTCAATACAGTGACGACTCGAGCAACAGCTCAATAGCGAGTCAGTTGTTTGTCCTTGCTGTCGCGCTGTACTTGTCAGGTCAAAGGTCGCTGACCCTTGCCTTTCGCGTAACCTCCAGCAGTTGCTCAACCTCCGAGGGTTGACTCGCTGATGCTTCGATATGTTTCGCTTCGCTTCTCACTTGGTGTTTCGACACGACAGAGGCGCTTAAGTTACTTGTTTCCAACACTCCCCTTCGCTTCTGAAGTGTCGCTGCTGGTGACGTGGCTCTGTCCAGTCAGTGTGAAATTGAGCGAGAATGAATTGACTAAGGGAAAGTTGGGTACAAATGCAAACCCTAGAAAACTGTACCCCATATGTGCTACCCCACTATAGCCTACAGTAGCTATGTCATATAAATCTGACACACCCCCATAGGCAAAGTGGGGGAGAACAAGGGGTCACAAGACCAGTCAAGCAAAGCAAAGCAAGCTCAGGGTGGATCACAAAGTCACCACACATTCCGAGCACAAGTTCAAGGCCACAAGGCCAGTTCACATGCAGGATGACACATATATATATAAGGCTAGACAAGCAAGAGCAGGCGTATATATATATGCAACAGTACAAACAAGGTCAAAGGGTGAGCAAGTGAGGCAAGGTAGGCACAAGACCCAGCTAAGTACAGAAGCGCTGATGATCACAAGGCGCAAGTGCCTTGGTGAAGATATCAGCAGTGTTGGCCTGAGAGGCCACGTACGCAAGCCGCAGCTGACCACGCTGCTGTAGCTCACGAGCAAGGAAGTAGCGGAGAGCAATGTGCTTCGTTCTGTGCTCCAGTCTCTGCTCTCGACACAAGGCCAGCATGGCCTTGTTGTCTACGTACAGCACTGGAGGAGAACGAGGCGGCTCTCCGAGGTCAGTCAGCAGGTAGGTGAGCCAGCGAAGCTCCTGTGCAGCCATGGCCCCAGCGTAGAGCTCAGCCTCACAACTGGAGCCGAGAACAGAAGACGAGCGGGTAGCCCGCCACGAAACAGAGCCGGAACCAAGGCTGAAGGTGTAACCCTGTGACGACCGCTGCGTAGCCTGGTCGTCAGCCCAAGAAGCGTCTGCGTGCCCAGTGAGGACCACTGGACTCTGCCCTCCAAGCACAAGCCCCATGCCCGACGTACTGCACAAGTAGCGCAACACCCTCTTCGCTGCAGCCATGTGCTCCGGTCTGTGTCTCCCAGGAGCAACATAGCGTGCGAGAATGCTAAGAGGGTATGCAAGGTCAGGTCGTGTGCAGGTCATCAGGTACATGAGGCAGCCAACAAGCTCTGGGTACGGGCCACTCGACTCTACGGACTCATCCGAAGGCAGAGCTGAGAGCGAGTGGCGAGTAGGCAGAGGAGTGGCCTGAGGCGAGGAGTACGTGAAGCCGAAGCGCTGAAGGACCTGCTGCACCATGTGTGACTGAGTCAGGGTAATGGTGCGGCGTGCTCTGTCCCGGGTGATCTGCAAGCCAAGGTAGCTGCGCAGTTCACCCAGATCTGTGCACGTGTGTCTCTTCTGCAGCTCGGACTTCACGTGGGCGAGTCCAGCAGTGTCAGCTGTGGCAAAGACCAAGTCATCGACGTACACGAGGATGTAGAACGGCGGCAAAGAGGTGTCGGTGCGCAGAAACAGCGACGGGTCGGCAGTAGAGGGAGCAAACCCAAGAGCCGCAAGTGTAGTCCTCAGTGTGTCGTGCCACTCACGCGGTGCCTGGCGGAGACCGTAGACTGGCCGCCGGAGGCTCCACTGGGTGCCAGGAGGAAAAGACCCAGTGAAGCCAGGTGGGCGACACAGCCAGATCTCCTCGTGCAGGCTGCCCTGCAAGAAAGCAGTGCTGAAGTCAAGAGAGTGCAGCTCGTAGTCGCGGTGAGCAGCTATGTGCAGCAGTACCCGAAGAGTGGTCATCTTCGGGGTGGGAGAGAAGGTCTGAAAGTAGTCAACTCCCTGCCGCTGACTGAAGCCACGAGCCACGTAACGCGCCTTGAAGACAGGCGGAGAACCCGGCGGCCGCTTCACCCTGAAAATCCACATGCCACTGACGATGTTCGCCCCAGGCGGGGGAACCTCGTCAACGTAGGTGCCTGTGGACTTCCAGGAAGCCATCTCTGCGTCCATAGCTGCCTGCCACTGAGAGGAGTAGGGACCCTCTATCGCCTCCGCGTAAGAGCGCGGAGTCGGGATGTTAAGTGCATCCGGGTCTCCCTCAGGGGTAAGCAGTACGGACACGAGATGAGGTGAAGCAGCAGCCAAGCACTGGAACTCCTCCTGCGTGTCCTCAAGGACGTCCGTGCCAAGGGCACACTCACCCCCGACGGACGGAGGACAGACAGACTCAGACTCAGCAACAAGACTAGCAGCGTAGTCGA